GCGGATCCGAGAAACGGGGTTCGTCAGGCAGGTGAGGAACTATCGGTGGACGGTGTGGTGGTCTGCCAACTGCCGGCCACCAGGCTGGAGACCGTGGCCCTAATGACGGCCGCCCACGCTGTCTTCTACACAAAGTTCACGGGGCCCTGCAGGGCCCTGTTCGAGATTCTTTACCGGAGTGTGGGATTCGATGTAAACCTATCTGGCTTATCACAGAAGGTGTGGGAGGTTACCCAGGTAGTGTAGAACCAGCATCGGAGATGCCCACTTCGAATGACTGGCGACCTGTGGCTCACCTGTGGTTCAAGTGACTCGTGACTTGTGGCTCACCTGTGGCTCAAGTGACTCGCAACGTGTGGCTCACACTACTGGAGCCTCTGTATTATGACTAATTCAGCTGCGGCGGTCTCAGTATACGCCAATGAGTCTCAGTACGTCTTTCATAGCCCAGATCACGCTCGTTTTATATGCCATCCGTTGCGGTGGTTCTGTGCGCAGATGTTATTCGTTAGCCTCAGTGTTAACCATACACGCTCGTTTTATCTGCCATCCGTGGCGGTGGTTCTGTGCGCAGATGTTATTCGTTAGCCTCAGTGTTAACCATACACGCTCGTTTTATCTGCCATCCGTGGCGGTGATTCTGTACGCAGATGTTATTCGTTAGCCTCAGTGTTAACCATAACGCCCTTGTGAGTTGTGACCTTGAACGTCCTTCCAGTGATTTTGCATTGCGGCCGGCAGAGACGAAGTTTTGCCTCCCAGTTGAGACGTTGCTTCTCAACTAGGAAGCAAAATTACGTCCCTGTCGGCCGCAATGCGAAATCACTGGAAGGACGTTCAAGGTCCAAATTAAGATGTACCTGCTGATGCTCAGGTATCATTCGTTAATCAATTGTTGGTGTTTCAATACATTGTTTAAATGTATTCCTTATTTTACACTTGGTCATAATATTATCACATCACCCCGCATTATCAGGGGTGGTACTTTTACACCGGGGCTTGATTTTACCGGGGAGTTACTCCGGGGTAAAATTATCGAAAAAAGGAGTGCTTTTTGGCATGGCAATATTATTCCCCGAATGGGAGTAATTTTAGTTTTAAGTTAATAAAATTATCATCTGGTGTAATTTTATCCAAAGATAGCATACTTTTATCCTCCGTCATAAAATTACTCCCTAGCACGAATAATATAAGCGTTCGGATACTAAATATATTCTATATGCTAGTTTTATTCCCCAAAACTCCCCATTTTAGGCGCTTATGCCAGGTCATAAAATTATTCGATTGCAGGAGTGCTTTTTGACATTCTAAAATTAGAAAATGGGGAGTAAGTTTTTTTCAGTGAAGTATTGTGGTACTTCGTCGATAACAATTTGGGGGGGCAAAAAGATATGTTTGCACCCCCACCCTGGAAGATGGGGGGGCGCCGTGCCCCCGCTGCCCCCCCGCTTCCGCCGCCACTGTCTTATTGTGTCTTACTATATAAGGGTTCTGTGAATCTGTCAAATGACGTGGATACCAAAAAAACCCATTGTATGGAGGATCCGAAATATAGTCTGCCTGTCTGTCTGTCTGACGATACGGCTGGATTGAAATGCAACATGACCCTTTCCGGTCAGGTCATCATCTTGAACTGAGGTCAAATTTCCAAATGACCTTTGAAAGGTCAACGTATAGTTCATTCGAAGCGTCTCGACCAAAGGAACACGATGCTGGCAGAATTGATGTCGTGGCTCTCTTGAGTCCAAAGTTATTACCGAAAGACATGTTTCGCGAGAACGGCTATTTTTAGAGTTTTTGTCCTCTGGAGGCTAAACTGTTGACCTACTGTTAACGCCAGACCCCTTGAGACCCTAATTTTTCGCGATTACTTTTAAATGCGTGAAGGAATTTCAACCAAGCTCAGGACATGGCCGTTTCAAGACAGGCCGAAACTTTTACAATTTAGATATTTTATCGCCATTTCAATATTTCAGGCACTTGTCATTGACTCGTAATGTTAAATTTCGAGCAAGATTTTCATCCGGTGTGTAGAGGCTATCACCAGTCAGTCTGTGATACGTTATGACGTCACAGCTAAGCCCCGCCTCTGTGGTCTTGGCCTGCGGCGGTTTCGGGCCGGCGCGCGGTCACTCTCGCTGTGGCGGGGAGCGGGGACCGGCGACGGTCGAGCGGTGCCGAAAGCCGGCGGAGTTGTGCGTAGCGTCTTGACTGACAGTGCCCAGAGAGCGACATGATGACTAAGGAGTCATAAATGCTCAATGCGCATTGCTTCTACAATGCTGATATGTTCGCTGATATTTTTTTTTAATATAAGCTGCAAATGACGGGCAGATGGCATATAACTGACATAAGGCTAGGAAATATTCACCTGTATTTAAAGCCTATGGCGTTGCAGATAATGCGATAATGGGATGTCGGATGTCACCAAGTAGCTGCCGATTTGTACATCGCTATGCAACCACGAACAACGCAATAATAAGTTAATTGCCTGAGCTTCACATCATACGGCTCGCTCGTATTTCAAACAGATACCCTACATCGAAAATCGTATTTGTTAGGAATCCTTAACGTTTGTTCGAAGCACGACTGAGTAGTAGGTTGAGGAGTGATGGTCCTCTTGGTCATATATACAAGAGTCAACAAGAGCCTAACATTTACTTGACCGTCTGCTGCAATTGACTCATAGCACGTGAAGCGTCAGCGAAATTCATAGTCCTTCACAGATGGCAGGGGTGTCGTTTGTACAGAGGTCGCTGATGGGCACGGGTCAATGCCGCAGTCGTGGGCGGAGCCTAATGTCATATGACGTAGAAAGCCTCTATCCAGGATGGAAAAACAGTTAACATTACGAGTAAATGACAAGTGCCTGAAATATTGAAATGGCGATAAAATATCTAAATTGTAAAAGTTTCGGCCTGTCTTGAAACGGCCATGTCCTGAGCTTGGTTGAAATTCCTTCACGCATTGAAAAGTACCTAATCGCGAAAAATCACTCAAGGGGTCTGGCGTTAACAGTAGGTCAAATCTGAGAACAATACCCACAAAGGTCTGTAAAAGGCTATCGAATGCGCTTTTCCGCGTCGCTGTTGCTCTATTGGTTCCCGAGTTAGCCGTCGGGTCACGGGTGTTTGGTGTTTCGAAAATTGACCCCATGAGGATGACAGGAAAACTCAGGCCACCAGCACGGCGCGGGTCGTTGGGTGACGTTGGTTGAGGTGACCAGGTTAATTTTACTCTCAAATTTCCTTATATCTATTTCTAAACCCACTTACACACATGCTGTAGAATGTCATTTTCATTCGTGTGTTCTATGCCTCGCATATGTATAGGTACCTACTATTAGTCTCTTCCATATCAAGCGGTCGGAGCTTCTTCAGCACGTTTGCTCCTCCGTTCATTAATTTGCGTATTTGAATGTAAGAGCTGACAGAGCTGTATGTACAGAAATCACGCATTGCTTTCAGCAGGGTACTTCGGCTGCAAGCTTGACATGGAACAGACTATTACGCGCCTCTTCTGTAGGTAGGTACTTTGCTTACTTACATGGAGGGTCTCCTTGTGCACGGGGGCCCCCTGCGTACGTTTAGTTCCTGATCCGTTCAGGGAACATCCTCAGTACTCGGACGGGAAGGGCCTCCTCTGTATACTACGCACCTCCGATGGAGGGCCTCCCATTTGCAAAGAGCCTCATTTTGTAAACGACACGCCTCCGCTTTAGGTGGAGGGCCTCCCATTTGTACGGAAGCCTCCTGCGTACGTTTCGTTTCTCCTCCGTTCAGGGGGCCTCCTCTGTACTCGAAGGGCCTGCTCTGTACACTATGCAACTTGAAGCCTTCTCTGTGCATGGAGGGCCTCTCATGTGAACGGGGGCCTCCTGCGTGCGCTCTGTTCCTCATTCATTCAGGGGCCTCCTCGGTACTCGGAGGGGCCTCCTCTGTATGTTACGACCTACGCGCCTCCTCTGTACCCATAGGCGGCGGAACGGGGAGGGCACCAGGGCACCTTGCCCCCTTTGATTTTGGCATTTTAACCCTCGCCGGCACAGGGGGTTGATGCAACCCCCCGCGAATAACTTATTCGCGAATAACTCGCGTAAAAAGCGGCCGTCGGCCGATCGCGACGAAACTTTCAGCACCCTCGCATTGATCAATTTTACACCTACCCTGAAAATTTCATGACCCTGACCCAAATGACCTTTGACCTGTGACCTCTTTTCCGAGACCATGTTTGGCCGGAATCGCGATTCGGCGCATGTCGGCTCGCATTAGCCTAGCGTTTGCAAGCTTTTCGTGGTTTCAAACGTTCAAAATGCGATTTGATGTTGCTCCCATTCATAAGGGTGGGTGTCAAGGTCACCTGAAGGTCAGGTCAGGTCATTGACCTTTGGTGACCTCGGGTGACCTCGGTTCACTTTTTCGAGTTTTACATGTTTCTAGGCCAGTTTTTGGAGCTGAATTCGAATTTAGCAACCATTTGAACATTTACGAAGTAGTTTTGGTGCCTTCGTAACATGTAACGAAGCTGTCAGAGGCGGTTGACACGTATTACGAATACCCGTCACAACCCCTACCGGTTGACCTGACCTGACCTGACCCGATCTGGTCTAAATGCTTAAAGACATCATCTCTGATCAAAACCAACACGATATTCGTGATCAGCACCCCGGAAAACCACAGAGCAGCCACACTTTACGACTTTCTAACAGGTCCCGATTTTCCCGGTTTTCGGGTCATTGACCTGACCTGGAAGGTCACCCGATGACCTAGGTCCTTAAAATTGGGTATCATCGGCTTCCTCTCGTGACGGGCAACACGCTCTGTTCCGCCGCTATCTGTACCTACCTACATGGAGGGCCTCCCACTCCCAGCGGACCCAGCGTATTCATTTCAAGTTAGAATTTAGTATTTCAAGTTATGAAATTAGTATTTCGTAGCCTTGTCTATTTCGAGCCCAGGGGTATGACGACGAAATCAGCGCAGTTGAGCGCAACTCCTTGCGCATTTTATTGTTGCATTTTGATTGCATTTTTAGTTTTATTGGTTTTATTATACGCGCAAAGTGGATGGTGTCTAATGGTTCTTTTTTGGACGAGGACGGAAGATGTGATCAAAAGCGGTTGTTTTATGAGCAGACGCATTCAAACTTTATTTCAATAATTTCATGTTTGCGGGTGAGTGAACAAATCGTAGATCGAGATAGGTACCTCATACCTATTTCAATATATCATGATATAAAAGCGATCATTTCAAAGCATTGTGATTGTGGAAAGGGTTGAGGTTGAATTATTTACCTTTTTGGGTTTTTATTGTTTCGAGCTTAATTTTTTGTCTGTAGTTCATTATCATTAGCTTTTCTGGCAGGCCATGTTCCCTACTAATCAGAGTGCAAAGTATGGTAAACTGCTAGGCGCTAGCTCAGTTTGGGGCGTTTGGGGAAACTACGAGTCGAAGATCCAAAAATTGATCGGTCAATAAATATACTTTTGATGACCATCTATGGACATGAATGCAGCCCTTGCTACTACGGGTGAAAAACTGTAGGATGTGCCGGTACCTGCGGTATCACGTCCACTTATCGGAGAGAAAAGGCTTCCATTTTCTGCTAGGAATTAACGTGATTTGATTAAATTTGACAAATTCACTTGAAAATGGCGATAGGAAAATGGCTTCTGCAGGTTCTGGGTGTCACAATCAGCTCGCCATTCCATTAATGGTTCAGTGTTTTGAAAGAAAAGTGTTAAAAGATTTAATTTAATTACAATAAATTAAGATATTTAATTTTAAAATAATAATCCAACCACAATTGGAAAAGCCATAAACAAAATAATAAAAATAATGACATTTTAAAACCATGGTGCTGCTTACATTTTTTGGCACGTTGTTGTTTGTTTGTCTCTCTGTATGTTTTGGTTGTTTGTTTGATTGATTTTTTTCGTAAGAAATGATGCAAGAGTCTATATCAATTGGCCAACACTCATTTTTGAAGCTAAAGAGGAAAGATAATCAGCCTTGACTGCCTATTGTATGTACCTAGTGTAGGTACTGTAAATATTCAGCAAGGTTCAAAAAGCTTTTGTGTTTCCAGGTAATTGGTCTGATAGCAAGATGTGTAAAACTTCAGGCCGTGGACATGCTCATTCATTGAGGACCAGAACCCTGGTGTGATTTCCTGGCAAAAACACTGCCGGGCAGGACTGAGGCCCTCGGCCCAGGTTTCCTTGCCTGTGCATACACCTGAGGCCACCGCACCACAAGCAGCTTCCACATCACCTCTTCAGAGTTTGGCCGACTCATGAATCGCTCGGCTGGCGACATGACCTCCAACTGGAGCGACCCCTCTCTGCTGGACGGCTCGGCGGCAGCGCTCCGTCAGCTGCTCACCCCTGCCCAGGTGACGTCCGGCGCCGGTCCCGGGGCGGCCGAGCCTCTCCCTTCCACCGCCTGGGTGGAGGCGTGGCTCAGCGGCTGTGTGCCGGGACGAGACGGGGCTGAGACGGCCTCTACTCGAGTGGAGTCCACCCCGGCGGCCGATGGGGCCGATGCCGATGAAGTGCGTTCGACGAAGAGTGATAGTGTGTGCTACCAGCTGCAGCCGATTGGTGTATTCTGGGACATCGAAAACTGCCAGGTGAGTGATTTGGGAGTGCGGGTTTCGGAAATACCACGTTATAGGATGTATGTTTACCGATGAATAGCTAATTTGGGAGGGAAATGTATTCTAGGACATCGAGGACTGTCGGCTGACTGATGAGGCCTACTGCAAGGTCAGAATCTGGGGGCTGCTTTTACTAGTCAAAAACTGTCACATGACTGCTGAGGGCTTGTGGGCTGGGGGACCTTTTTCTGTCTTCATCTATCTCATGTCAGATGAAGATGCCAGATATTGCAGTCCATCAATCGTGCGTGAATAGTGTGCTCTAAGCTGCCTAGCGGCATATTTAATCATTCGTCCTATGACATTGGACATCTCTAGGACTGTCTGCTACTTCTTTATCAGTTATCCTCGCGATATCTTGTAGCTCGTCACCAACTCTAATACTGTTGCGATGAATCTCGACTCTGCCTGACCGATCATGTGCTGCGTTTCTGTTGCTAACCTCTCGCCCCCCCCCCCCATCATTCAGGTACCGCGTCGGTGTTCTGCCGGCGATTTCGTCTCGCTGATACGGGACCATTTCTACGCCAACTGCTGGGAGGCCGAGTTCATGTGTGCCTGTGACGTCAGCAAAGTGTTCCCGGCCACCCTGCAGCAGCTGAACGATGCACAGGTGAGGAGCTTGGTCAGCAAATTAAACACAGCGACGAATGACCATGACATACATATAGTCCATAGTTCATGCACATGACTCATACCCATTCAATTTAAGGAAGTCGTTTCGAAGTTTGCCGTTATGTGTTCGTCTGATTCTGAATTCTGATGCATGTTATAAGTGCCACTGGATCAGACTAGTAGTTCAGGATGGAATACTATGTGCCCATTACCCATGCCTCACCTGTTGCCCATATATCTGCAACAAGGGGACAATTGTGGGCGTGGCTAAACGTTTGCTCATTGCCGCATTTACAACCTACATCCCTGTCATCATTGCATTCCATCTGACGGAACTGACAATAAGAACTTCTGTCCATAATCGACGTTTCCTGAAGTGAGCTTCATGCACGCCAGTCACCAGTAAAAACTGAACTGAAAAAAACTTGCGTTTTTTTACCTTTCTTACCTTTCTTTCTTTTTTCTTATCTTTCAGGTGAGCGTCATGCACGTGCCAGCCACAAGTAAGAACGCCGCCGATGAGAAGGTCAAGCAGAGCCTGCGCAGGTTCTCTGATCAGTACCCGGCTCCAGCCACCGTTCTGCTCATCACTGGAGACATGAACTTCGCGCCCGATCTCAACTTCCTCAAACACAGGTCAGTGCGGGAGCAGGGTCATAATGTGTCATAATGTGCCAATAAGTCCGAGTTAGTTGGCGTGGTTCTCAACGGTAAGTCATGTACAACCCCAATAAGTCATAATAACAGTCTTACGCTTCCCATAAACCTAATAACCTAATCGCTCTTACCAGCAGCTGACAACTTTGTCTGTCCCTCTCCGGCTTCACTGGGTCGTAATTTCAGGAAGAAGCACCGTGTCATCCTGATCCACAACAGACAGGCACGACCGGCACTGCTCAACTGTGCTGACGAGCGACACCTCTTTGACGACCTCCTGGCACAGCTACCAGACAGCCGGCCACAGCAGGTCCAGGTCAGTGGAACGGTAGCTGTCCACTGGCAAGGCGTGCATTCAGCGTGTAATCATCGAGCGGATGCTACGCGCTGAACAGCGGAATTTAAGTCGTCAGCGCGTGATTCAGCGCCGACCAGCCGCCGGATAAGCAGCGGACTGCGCTTCATCGCGTATTCGGCGCTAAGATCGCAGTCGGTGCGTAGCCCATACAGGGTTGGGCAGATAAATTGGGACAAATTTCAACTTCCTCTAAAACAACTATTTTTTGAGTGATAAAGATAATTTTTGAACATAAATATAGGCTAATGAATACTTTTCCATGTTATGCAGGTTGCGTTGTGATTTTGAGCCGGCTGGTCACAGAACGTGGGCTTAAGCAAGCCACTATCAACTTAGTCCGCGCGCACATGCATGCCAATACTCTAATTATGCTCCATCAAATGGCTGAAAGTAGTGTGTATCGAACAGACGTAAACGTTGGAGGAAGAGATGATATTGACTCAACCTTACATACCAATTGCATTGACACCGGCCGCTCCCCCGGCTTTCCAGGGGGGCCAAAAGGCAAAATTCAGTTAAATCAGAGGATCCTCGCGAAAACAGTGGCGCGAGCTTACAAAGAAGGTAGCCGCGCCATGAGAAAGCGATATACCAACACCTCAAACATGTACTCTTATGCATTGATGCATATCAACCTGTTAACATAGATGTTGAAGCAGCTGTGACGTTAAAAAGATTGCTTCCTCTTTAAGGGCTTGGAGAAGCGAGCAAGCACGTGCAGGTCTTTTTCGACGGTGGTATCCCCATAACCGAACATATGAACAACCGCAAACACCATATGTAACATCGCAACCAGCCCAGAAGACGTGATCTTAGTTCCAAAAAGCATGCAGCAGACATCGGTGATGGCATTCCACTCGGTTACTTCTGACGGTCACGTGGGGCCCCCTCATTTTACGGAATCGGGAGGGGGTTCGCCATTACAGGGTACCCAACCATTATTCCGGCAGTTCGAATGAACAAGACGGAAGAAGGGAACATCCTGCATGGAGTGATGGTCTTCGAGGAGTCAGCTCCCCGGCATACAGTAAATTAAATACAAAATCTCCTGAAACGGAGGATCCCGCAAACTGTACCCAAAGGAAAATGCCCCTTTCCTCGTTAAACCTAAGCCCACACAGGTTTTGGTTGCTGGGGCGTTTTTGCGGCTGAGTCTAATGAACGTCCCCATGTGACTGTGTGTCGCGGAGGCGCGGATGGAGAGATGACTGAGCGGGCCGAGACTTGTATTGCAACTGTGGTTCTGATTCTGATTCGCCAGTGCCTGTGCGTTATATGCATGGTGGTTGCACAATGAAGGACCGGTCCGCCGACCCGCCGGGTCGGTGGACGGTGCCGACACGTGGGGAAAGTGACGGCTATTTCTATGTAACAAAGCTTGAACGTGTACTCTCTTTATCACGATATGGAAGAAGGGAATCGGTCCCACATTATCTTCCCTCCCCCAGGGAAGCGTAGGGAACCGAAGCGATCATAACAAAGAGAGGAAACGTTTAGCTGACGGAGAAAGAAATTTCCATATGAGCGTATCACAAAATGGTATGAACAGATAAGTAAGTTTCGTGACAATTACACCTACTACCGGGCGATCCCTCCGCACTCTTGGCGGGGACCGTCCCTGGGCATCTCCATGGCCCTCGGCATCTCTGGCCGAATATCAATACAATATAATTTCAGTGAATTGACAACGATTAACGTATTTGAATGTTCATACCGTTCAGAGTATGCTCTTTCTACGTTTACTAGTGTCAAAATGACACGGCAAAGTGCAGGCAAAATTTAAATGCACTTGCAATTTCTCCGTAAATTTTGGGGTGAGCAACCACAATGAAGCGCAACAAACGACAAAACACTGACGAAAACGGATAATGAAACAGTATGGTTTTGAAACACAATGAAGTTAAAACAAATTTCACAGCACAATTTCACTGTCACTTTTTGACGAAAATACAGCAAAAGTTCATGATGGGTGAATTTTCTTGATTTCGGTGCCAATTTGTCTTGAATTTAGCGTTGAAGTTTTTGTTTTATCTTCTCTCCTTCGAGCTTGAGTCCTTCAGCGAGGTGGTGTCCATCACTCGATGACGGTGAGGAGGACGGCGCGGACTGATGAGCCGTGCGCTGTCGGCGGGCTCCGTAGTAGTCCAGGGTAGCTGATGACCTTGCCGCAGGGCAGATAGTCTTGCTGGGCAGAGCTACTCACTGGAGACGGTGCTGCTGGACGATGACGAGTCCAGGATGGTCAGCTCCCTAGTCGATGACGTGACGTAGGGGCGATACACTGTCACGGAGCACGGACTAACCAGTCTGCGATGTCAGTGCAGATGTAGAGGCTGGAGTCCGTTGTGAGGGGCACAAGTCCCCTCGACCGCCGCTGCCACCATTGTCGCGGAGGCGCGGAAGTAGAGAGAGACTGAGCGGGCCGAGACTTGTATTGCAACTGTGGTTCTGATTCTGATTCGCCAGTGCCTGTGCGTTATATGCATGGTGGTTGCACAATGAAGGACCGGTCCGCCGACCCGCCGGGTCGGTGGACGGTGCCGACACGTGGGGAAAGTGACGGCTATTTCTATGTAACAAAGCTTGAACGTGTACTCTCTTTATCACGATATGGAAGAAGGGAATCGGTCCCACATGTGGTGAGCCTCAGCAGTGACAGTTGGCTACAATTACGAGCCATTTCAGACGGGAGATCTCGCCGCGCGTGCGGCCAGTCCAGGCACCGATAAGGACTGATGCAGGTGGACCACGGTGACCATATTTGGTGATAAATGTGTAAAATTGGTGTAACAATATGTGATCCAATTTTGAAATGCCTATGCTTACAAATTTCTAAGCTACGGCGTTCTAAATGCAAATATGTATTTTGTCCCAATTTATCTGCCCAACCCTGTAGTATGCAATATTGAATCTAACGCACATATGTCATATGTGCTCGCCAATGGCCTAACCATCGCGATTGAGCGTTGACATTTGCAGTCTGCTATGTACTGTCGCTCTCCAAAATACTAGAGGAACTCCTTTACAAGGCGATAGTTCGTTGGGCTCGGCAAACGTGACGTCTATTATTCAGATCACTTCCTGATGCTCCCTCGCTGAAGCCGATCTTTTCTTTGACAGGAGGCACGATCGGCCGACCGACTGTGCTGCCATCTGCGCCTGACCGGTCTATCGCCCAACGGCCGAAAGTCCAAAGTGGTGAACGAGATCCAGAAGCTGGTTTATAACTGCGGTGGAAGAGTGGAGCGAGTCAATCTTCCTGCTGGAGAGGCCATCGTCGTCTTCCCGTCGCCTAGCAACGCCGCAAGGTGGGTACTGTTGCCTAGCAACGCTGCCAGTTGAGTCTTGTTGCTTAGCAACGCTGCCAGGTAAGTCCTGTTACCTAGCAACGCTGCCAGGTGAGTCCTGTTGCCTAGCAGCGAATCCCAGTGAGTTCTGTTGCGTAGCAACGCCTCCCAACGCGTCTTGTTACATAGCAACGCCGTAAGGTAAGTTCCGTAGCCTAATAACATCGCCTAGTTTTTCCTGTTGCCTAGCAACGCAGTCAGGTGAGTACCGTAGCTTAGCGAGCGCCATCCGCGGCCCAGGTGAGACCTATAATTGCCCGCCGTTTACTGACGCTGCCCATACCGTTTGGTGACCACAATTCTGATGGACTGGTTTTTATCGTATTGTTTTATGATTATTTTTCGGAACGATAAGCACGGTCTGAGTGAACTCAAATCTAAAGTATTGCTGATTGTTTTCTGAATGAATTCCCATACTTTTCCTGTCTGTGGATGATTTAAATCTGTTGATGATCATGGCAAGTAAACAAATGTATGTTTTTCACTTGATACCAAAACGGGTAGGTACCTTCTGGGTTTGATTTATATGTGCACTGTGCATGCAATGCAGCGTGTGTATCGTGGATATGAACAGACTGGTTTTTGATTCACCTTTTTTGGATCGATTCAATCATTGATTCATTTGATTTTTGTTGAATTCAATCACCGTTTGATTCCTTCAAAAAATTTGGTGAATCGATTCCTTTTGATTCAGAGAATCAAAAAACAATAAAAGGAATGATTCACGTTTGATTCAGCCAATTTTTTTTGAATGATTCTTTTTTTGATTCAATTAAAAATAAAATATACAAAATATCAGGAATAGTATTGTATTTGTTGTGTTCTTTTTGTTGTCATGTAATGGCAGAAGTGTTAATATTTGTTGATAATGAACTGTATTCGTTCACTGCAATTTTTTTTAAAGTTCATGAATCAATAAGTTTTTTGATTCAATTAACCCTGATTCCCAATGCGTTTGATTCAATCATGGCTTGTGAATCAAACAATCCTGACGGTGAATCAAACCTTTTTGATTCAACAAATTTTGTTTGATTCAATCCAACCGATTCAATCACAGATGAATCGATTCAATCCAATCGATTCAATCACAGATGAATCAAACACCAGTCTGGATATGAAGAATACATGCATCATTGACTGTGTCATTCGTGAATATATTCTGGCATGCATTTGTGTATTTGTCTAATGCCGGACGCATAAAAAAGTCATTATGAAGCATTTGCTAAAACATATACGACGGTTACTGTTATTCACGTCAATTTTAGAGGGTAAGGAACCGAAATCCAACGAAAAAAAAAACAATAATTGAATAATCCCGAAAATTGAGCTTGTGTTTTCATTGACTATAAAATACCGTCGTTAAGAATAAAGGCCTGGCTACACTATGCGTTTTCTGCGTGCGTTTTTTGCGTGTTTGCGTGATTTGCGTAATATCGTTCTAGAAAAACAGTTATTAGGGGAAGTTGGGGCAATGCCGGAGTTGGGGCAAAGCCGAAATTCGAGATATTTCGAAAACCGTAAGACATGGATGCCACCTGTCAGTGATGCTCTGAAGCTTAAAGGTAGTGTGCCACCTTTGAAAGATTTCCCGTTTTATTTTTCCTAGGATAAGAAGCTTCTGTTTTTACCTAATATCGCAAAAAAAAATCAAAAATTGGCCTGGAATAGTGCCTTTTTCGCCTAAAAGTTTATCGGTTTTTAGATATGTATAACAACTGTAGTGGGCTCACCTGCAAACAGGCGTCGGCAAACAATCGCGAATGCGGCGCACTTGTGACAATAAGCAAAGGTCATTATAGTGTTACGACCATACGACGTACGGGAATGAGTTATCAGCTGTCTAATCGTAGACAACACAATGTCGAGCCTTAAACTGTAAGCCTGTATTGGTATTGTTTCTTAAATTTGGCTGTCGAACATTAATTTGTGGTTTTGAAATATGATTTTATGTAAAATAATTTATAATTGATATGAAACAGCCGTCTCTTAAGTTATGACCCCGGCCCATTACACCACACGCAAGTGGCAGAAATGACAATGATCAGCTGACGCATTTTTCTTGGCCGAAGTCAGAGCGCGCGGCCCGACGCACCACGCGTATTTGGAAATTCCGACCTCGACGAGCATCAGAAGCCACCTAACAGGCGTGTTCGAAACCGCAGGAGATGATGATGAACGGGCTTATCGAAACTTGATTGGATGAGCCTATCGGTAATAGCGATTTTAGTGTGTGCATTTATTGTTCATAGTGGTGTGAAATGTGGTTGGGGTACGACCGACAACCCGTCGGGGCGAATTTCGCACTGGGGTACTCAAAATTTGAAGAATTTAAGACGTTTCCATAAGTTTTGAAGGTATGGATAAGTTCTAAAAATCCGGTTCTCCTTATCCGGGTCATTAACTCCATATGGTCCAGGAAAGCTGGCACACTACCTTTAAGTGACTACAATTATCGCATGTTTGTTACGAGTCGTCATTCGGAATACTTCGACTGTGAGGGCGCCAAGAGCGTTTTCAAGGTACGTTTCCCTTGTACTACATGCGCCTTTGAAGTGCATTTCTTACTCATTATGCTACCGTTTGTCTGGCCAATTCGGTCAAGTAATCTTTAGCATGTCTTTGCATAAGTGTGCTGCCTATTTGAAATTTATACAGCACGTTGAAAAGTTATGGGCCTGCAAATGAAAGTATGGCAGGCTGGGGTAATGCCGAAAACGTGCGATTACGCACGTGTTAAAAGCACGCTACGTGGACTTTACTGCTGTAGAATAGCAACGCGTATTTTTAGTCACACAAATTACACTTTCAACCGACACAACGGCCTGTTACCTATAAGGAATGATTTACCTGGCATGTTCTTATTATATCACACAATTATAACTTCCAGTGTGCACCGCGTCCTCAAGCTCTTAAAACGCGTGTCAGCTTTGATAAATTCTGGATAAAGTTTGAGATAAAATGGCAAAACATCAATGTCGGCATTCCCCGTAGATCATTTCTCCCATTTTCGGCTTTCCCCGCAGTCCGGGGCAACGCCGAAAAAGTCACTTCTTTGATATTTTTAGTTTGTGCGCTTAACGGTATGCGAATTCATCAAATGCGCCTGGTATGTTTGAAAGGCAAAAGACTGGCCTCTCGAATGACGCCAACAAGAATAGCTTATGTTGTCTACCTTGCGTGCTACGGGCGTCAGAAAAAAGTCTTCGGCGTTCCCCCAACTTCCCCTACTAATATAACTTCTTTAATATTTACTTAAAAATAGTTAAAACTTTTATATTAATTAAAAGTTTATATGAAAACATCTAACAAAAACGTAATGCCGTTTCTTTCTAGAACGATATTACGCAAATCACGCAAACTCGCAAAAAACGCACGCATAAAACGCATAGTGTAGCCAGGCCTTAAGGTTTTGGGCTCATAGTTTTTTTCCTTTACTGAGATGGCTGTCTTGTAGTTTTATGCAAGTGTATATATGTTCTCCAATAAAAAGGTCCTTTGACGGGATCAGGAAGTTTTTGTTGTTTTTTTTTTTGCCAAATTTTTCGTAAACTGACAGCACAAAATTGGTCATATGCTCCTTCAAAACAGGCTACATTTTCGCGGATAATGTAAAGTTAATTTGAGAGAAGGTGCAAAGATTTTTACGGTGATATATCGACACCTTTTTTTTAAACCCCACATTTGTTCTCCGGTGAATTTCAGACAAGTTGGTTAGAGACCTTCAAAAAAGGTACGATCACTCGATTTTTCTCAAGTTTGACTGTCTTGGCAGATAAAACGATACCAGAACAGGCCTACGAACCAGGGATGCGGAGCCGGAGCCGGAGCCGCCGGAGCCGGCATATTTTGCCCGGAGCCGGAGCCGGAGCCGGAGCCGTGAAACAATATAGCCCGGAGCCGGAGCCGGAGCCGGAGCCGTCAAAAAAGGGGGCGACTCCGGCTCCTTTTCTTAAGAGGAAACAATTATTTACCTAGTTCGGTTTGACAGTACAAGGCGTAAAACAATGTGGTATTCAAAATAGCTTTGTTATACAAATACAGAAGCAATGTGTACCAATCCCATCGCCTTTTTTCTTCCACCCGTATTTAATTGATCGCATAGGGGATGTACTGAGTAGAAGCCGGAGCCGGAGCCGCCGGAGCCGAATCATTTTACTCGGAGCCGGAGCCGGAGCCGGAGCCGCCATGACATTTCACCCGGAGCCGGAGCCGGAGCCGATTTTTTTCTCCGGAGCCGGAGCCGGAGCCGGAGCCGTCTGAAATTTCCACGGCTCTGCATCCCTGCTACGAACATACATATTTGATCAGGATCGGACGCTTGGACACTTTTAAAAGGAGATCTTTCGTGCCTCCCGGAAATTCACGGGAGAGCAGATGTGGGGTTTAAAAAAAGGTGTCGATATAACAGTACCTATAATTATAAGTTTTTCAGTTGTGAATTGGTACGAAATGCCCCCTCCCCTAAGCAAAGATGCGGGCTAGTCATAACATCTTCCCAATACATTTTACTTGCCATACCTACCTCTATGGCTAATGATCGTAAGTGGGTTGCATTTAACCTGAAAATTTGCATCTCTGGGCGGTTTTCTACGTCAATATGGTCGTTATTTCCGTACATTGTTACGGTAATATGACCCTTACACCCATCCCGCGCCGCCATTGGCTGCCGTGAATCGGGCTCGTCTCTGATTGGCCAGTCGGTCCCCAAGGTCAGCGTCTATCGCCCGAGGCTGGGTCTGACCGGTAACGCACGCGGCGGCGGCCGGCGGGCGTTCATTCTTTAGCGCGGAGACAAGGCAGGAACTTCGTGCCTTTGTGGCGCAGTGTTGAGCGCGTTAGACATCACGTGATTGGCATGTGTGTATTGTGTTGAGTTGGGTAGGATAAGCGCGATTTGGGAAGGTGAGTTGTGACTTGTGAGTTCGATTTATGATGTGTGAGCTGCCATGTAGCAAACGCTACATTTGAGCTTTTTTGATGCTTCTGAAACTGGGCAATACTGACTACGAGTTTCAAAGGATTCCGGTGAATGTGTGACGATTTAAAAAGGAAACGTGTGCTCCCGCTTCATTGATGTTTCCATTGATGTTTTTTTAAGTTCAAATTTCTTTTTAAAAACCACAACACGGTGTGCGATACTGGCGCGTGTCGTTACGAGCGAGCGAGCGCAGCGAGCGAAGTGAGTCTTTTCAATATAACGGGAAAATCTCAGTATGAGCGGCCCGGCCCGGCCCGGCCTGTAACGCTTTTGAGAGGCTTATATCTCAGCAACCGCTGGACCGATTGGCCTGTGGTCTTTTTTATTGGGTAGCCCCATCCCTTCTACCCCGTAATTGACTACTTTTGAATTTTGATACATCTCAGTGACCGTCGTGGCACGTGCCACGTGAAAAGTCAAGGGTGTTCAAGCTGTTTTGCAAAAGTAGTGATTTTGAGAGGCTCATATCTCAGCAGCCGCTTGGGCGATTGACTTGCGATAATTTTTGTAGGGTAGCAGCATCCCTTCTACCCAAAATAGGATACTCTCGATGCATGTGGGTCACCCCCAGTGCACGTGCAAAATACAACAATAAGAGGTGCCAAATTTGTTCCCATTTCAGTAACTCGGTAATTACTGGGTCGATTTCGCTGAAACTTGGCATACAGGTAGGCACCCACCAGGCAATGCATTCCCATGTGTTGCGGTTAGGGTGCTACTGCACGTGCGCACGTGCAGGGGGCGTTTCCAGATCTCGAGAATGGCTGGGCCGATTGCGCTCAAATTTGGTACACGGTTGGGGACCAGTTAGTAGGGTGCCGTGCAAAAGTCATTTTGGACCCCGTTTGCACGTGCGCACGTGCAGAATGCCGCTTCCAGATCTCAGGAACGGCTGGACCGATTGCGTTCAAATTTGGCACACCGCTAGCGACCGGTTAGAAGGGTGCTTTGTGCAAGCCCGTTGGAAGCACCCTCTCGCCCTTCCGCACGTGCAGGGCTCACTATCTCGCTCGCTCGTTCTTCGCCCAAAAGGCGTTTTACTGGTGATATCAACGCGAGGGAAATTTAACGGCCAGGCCGGGGCTGCGGTTAAGTGAAAAAATGCGTTATTTATCATAACATTTTTTTTTTACATTTTTTCCTGCGGTTCATACGGTTACATAATTCATGTAAATAAGCGCATAAGTACCCCGCCGTCGAGGCGTCCTAAAACCCAGGCCTGGCTACACTATGCGTGTTCTGCGTGCGTTTTTTGCTAGTTGGCGTGATTTGCGTAATATCGTTCTAGAAACAAACGACATTACGTTTTTGTTATGTTTTTCGTACAATGTATAAACATAGACAATGTATGTTATATAGACAATGTAGAAACTTTTAATTGTTATAAAAGTTTTATTAACTTTTAAATAAATATTAAAGAAGCTATATTAGAAATAATTTTTTTTTTCTAGAACGATATTACGCAAATCACGCAAACTCGCAAAAACGCACGCAGAAAACGCATAGTGTAGCCAGGCCTAACAAACAACGATAATTCATAAAGCTTACAACACTGGTTGTTGTGGTGATCGATGGCCGTATTTGTCGGTACTCTGTTCTGCTGACTCTGCTGACATGAGCCAGTCATGAATGGAAGCTAGTTGCTGACTTTTTTGCCCATTGTTGGTGAAGATCACGATCCGCTTGTTTGTTCACTTACGAGAATCTGAATAGGTCAGCATCTGACGTGTCGATAAAAATGGTCAATTAAATGCCAAATGCCTATATCTACAAAGTTGCGTTGGCTTCGGTCCTGTTCTGTCGGCTACCTACTCAATCCAATGACGTCATTCATTCCCCGCTACGATCCATTGACGTCATTCTCCCTGTTTCGCCAGGGCCAAGCACCGGCTGCACCATGTTGTGATCTGCGGTTCGCAGACGTATGTGACGTTCTACTACAAGTCGAGCGGGCGCTCTTCCCGGCAGGGCCTGCGCTCGGATATCGGTGAGTGCCCGGACTGTCCCTCGTAGATCGATGGGCGTTTGGTGTGGGCCACTTTGGATGCAGGTGCCTTATTTTCTAAGCCCAAGCTGTATTGGAAATGTTTTTTTTTTTTTTGCCAGAATCCTAGCTGTATTTTCGTGTCCGCATTTGTGCATGCTGTGCGAAGGAAGGATGGGTTAGCGAGTACGCGTTCGTTTCTGCAGCTCAGAGCTCCTACGTCCTGATGAAACGTGTATTTCTTCTATGATTCTTAGCATGCCAGTTTTCTCAAAATGGATCTTTAGTGAATCTAATCGAAAAGTTTGCGGCGTTTTAACGTACACGCCCAATATTTTCGCCTAGGAATGACAGCGCTCCAATTTTATCCGTGACCGATCACATACATACCGCCCGTGCCTATCAACCCCTTCCCCCTCCCCAGATTCGGGTATGGGCCAGGACAGCCTGCCGCCGGCTCAGGAGGCCCCGCTGCAGCCTCCTCCAGCACTGTGGCCGCCCGAGCCCCGCACTAGGAGCAGCTCTGTCTCCACGCAGACATCTCCTGAACCGGCGGTGGAGAGGCCGGGCTCGAGCCGTGCGGACTCGGCTGCTTCTGTGGCGACTCAGACCTCGCCGGATGGACAGCTGACTGCCAGCAGGTTAGTGACCGGCGGCTGACCATTGGGGGGGGGGGGAGCGGAGGGGGCAGCTTGGGACAGGTCGAGGGAGGGATCTATGGGCGTTGGCGGGGCGTTGGGCCTGAGGGCGAGGCGATGGCCAGCTGGGAAAGGGTCGTTGTATAGAAGGGAGGGATCAGTCTATGATTCAGAAGAGTAAGAGGGGGGGGGGGACGACGTGGCCACTGCTCAGCTTTGTTGCATTAATCATAACGAAGTAAATATTCTGCTTTACTTTGGATGTTCATAATTTGTCTGACTGCGAGGAAATCGAGGCATATGCTTAGCTTCGAGCGTCAGCAACCAGTTTTCGTTCGTTATTGTTCGTTTGATTCTCCTCACTTCAGACTTGCAGCGTTGCTCCATACAGATACAGCTACTCTTACCTTATAGTCACCGTGCTCTTACCGTTGTTTTCTTCCTATAGAAGTCAACGGTGTTATTGAATAGTTCTTATTTATTCACACTCTCGTTTGTCGCAGCCTGGGCAGTTCTCCCAGCACCGATGCGTCCCCTCGGAATCCTGACCGAACACCAGCGCCGCGGCGCGGGGACCTCTACGACCAGAGGTTCCAGAGTCGTCCGCCAGTCGGCGCTGGTGACACGCCGTACGGCTCTCCCAGAGGTGAGGAAGGAAAGCTGACCGGGACAAACTCGCCTTGACGCGCGGAAGGGGGTCTTGGCTAACTGCTTTGGGCGCGTATTGTCCAGACAATCGGGAATGTGCTCGTTGCGAGAAGCGCCGGTTGGTTCAGTACGGGATCTTACTTTTCTATTTCACTCAGTTGTTACGTGCAGCACGCTATTCGTCGACGGGATATGTCGCCCAGCCCATTGGTTTACGTGTGAAGAGCTGAAGGCAGTTTACGTTTCGTGTAAAGCTCTTCCCTGCGGCCCTGACTGTCCGAATCAAGCCTTGCTTTCTAGACTGCGTCCCCCTGTAGTGCTGTCCTTGTAATTATCCGTGCCCTCTCTTTTTTAATCCTCTGCTGTCTTCACTTTCCTAATCTGCTTTTACTAACACATCCTTCCTTCTTTTATTTAACTGCCTGACCTCCTCCTCGCCCCTCGTTTCAGTGGGCCGTATGGACGTGCCGCCTCCCCCACCCGCCCGGCCGTTGGGCGCCAGTCCGGTGGGCGGGGGCGGGGGCGGCCGGGCGCGCAGCGGCTCCCCGGCCGTGGGCGGCAGCTCCGGAGGTCTGGACGGTCCCGTGGAGCTGACTGTGACCAACCTGGACTCGAGTAGACACCCGAGAGATATGGAGAAGTTGCTATTGGAGTTGGCCAGCAGACACACTAAGGTATTTACTGGTGGAACTGGCATCCACTTTAAAGGGACGATACAATTGGGAATAGTAAGTACTGAAGGAAAATGTCAAAGCAGGCTGACTTGGATAGGGTGAACTTTTGGACGCTTCTGTGTAATTCCAATGTTACTGTGAAAAAGGCAGTTTGTTTGACCTTGTTTTGTAGTTGTTACAAGATTTGTATCGTATTTATACTAGCTCTATATTATTTTTTAATGTTTGAATATGGAAGGGTGGGTTGTGGGTTTGATTTGATGCCCTCGCAATCTTCCCATTTACCAGTTTAGTCCACGTCTAAAGCTGTCCCTCTACCGCTTCGGGCATCAGCAGATCTGCTTCACTATAACGCTGCCAATGTAGCTCGACGATAACCCCGCCCTCCCCCCCCATATTTTCTCTTCAGGTGGAGTCTCTCTCGGTCTACTGCCAATCCGACGGTTCCATGGTGGCCAGTGTGGTCGTACCCACCCAGTTCGACTCACAGGCTCTCATAGCAGAGATGCACCGAGCAGTCATCGGTAACAAGCGCATCATGCTGTCCTACGCGAGGGTTGACAAACCAGAGCCGTACAAGATACGGTAAGTAGGAGTGCCAGGCTGTGACTGACGTTCATTAGTCGAAGGGAATGGGAGAATGAGTAGCTGTGAGGGTAGAGTATGCAGTTTTACGGAGCATACTATGTGTTTATGTATATGTGTGTGAGTTGGAGTGGGATGGGTGGAACAAATATATTCTGTGTTGGAGTTGCTTAACCGTGGTGAAAGCTATTCGTATGGATGAGTCATACTGGTACTTAAGAGGTTGCCTTGGCGTGATTGTATAAGTGTTCGTTGATTTGCCCTGTCGCGTTCCGGGCCTCAGATTGGCTATCTGTGTCGTCTCGCGGCCTCTCATTGGCCGCCTGTGCCATCTCCCGCCTCTGATTGGATCTTTGTCCCGTCCCGGGCCTCTGAATGGCCGTCTGTGTCGTCCCCACGCTCTGATTGGCCGTCTGTCGCGTCTCGCTGCCTCTGATTGGCTCTGGCGTTGTTAGGGCGCAGGTGATTCGTCTGCTGAACGACGTGCCGTCCGGCCAGCTGCCGCTGGTGAAGTTCATGGAGCTGTACGAACAGCGTTTTCACAGCACAGTCAGCATCGCAGACCTCTTCAGGTCAGACAAGACACATCCACAATACACGTCATGCTGACACTGTATAATGGCTCTCGCTGCTTTAGGCCTCTTTACAGGGTACTTGACATTGCGCCTGTTTGCTTGGCAGGGCTGCTTATGTGTCTTGTTGGCATCTGGCCGCTTCAGAGTGCTTTTTACTTCTTCTCGATGCGTTACATCACATCATTCTACTCGATACGATGCATACATCGAGTCTCTTCGCAGGACTTTGGATGCTTCTCGCTGTATCCGCTTTATGTATTAGGCCGCTGAGTGTTTTTCGATGATTCATGACACCTCAAAGCTCTGTTGGTCTACTTCGCTGTGAGATGCTGGGTGCTTCATAACCATTTGGTGAAATGCGCTTTTTTTCTGCCGGCTCGGTGGAAGGCTGGAAACAGCCGCGTCTATGCTCGATATACATTCTGATCCGCGGGGTAGTCACGGTGCGTCGCTCCTGCTTGGGGCGAGGTGGCTGAGAGGTTTTAGAGCTTGGTGCTAATCCGTAGCTTTGCAGATGCTCGATTTGTGTTTCACAGGACTTCAGCTGTTGCTGACTTGGGTGACTGTCTCTCGCTGCCGTATGGTGGCAGGGATCCTTGCTCTTTTGCTGCCTATTACAAGCTTTGCTTTTCAGGCGCCTCTCTGCTTTCTTGTGACTAATACGTGGCTGTTTATGATTGTTCCCGTCCTTTTATACACGTTGCTCGTAACATTCAAGCTACAGCCTATATTTCAATGTGGTTTTAAATGGATTTTACATACAGAAATATGGAAGATAGCTTCGATCTCTTTGATATTTTTCAAGAACGGCATTTATGCTTTCTTTAGTTTTTTTTTTTTGAAAAGCAAATAAGGCCAGTTTTGAGACGGTCTCCGCCTCCGCACGAGTGAATGCTGCATCTTCAGGCTTTCGTTAATTCCGAAAACTCTCAGTCGAACATGACCAGTGATGCCACTAACAGATTTGTCATGCACTTTGTTTACCGGACGACAGGCCCAGTTAACTCAAACAATCGTCTCACTTCGCTAAAATATTGGGAGTGACTGACTGATAAGACTGACGTGGTATGTACCGACAGGATGCGGGAAACAATCACAGTGGTGGACAGCAGCAGCGGTCGGGTGATCCAGCTGAACCCGGCACTGAAAACACAGGACCTGGTCAGTGCTACGGGTGGGGAGACAGTCAGTGATTCAATTAGGTTAAAAGGCAGATGTTATATCAGATGTTACCGTTCAGATGATAGCGATGTCGTTAGAATACCTGTAGCTATAACTGTTTTCTTGTGTGCTTTTACCTGCCCAGTGCGATAGGTTTTTGTGCAATGATCACTTCATGCGTCGTCGGGGCCAACATCATTTCAATTTTCACCTATATTTTCTGCTGTAACAATTACTTCAATACTGGTATGTTCGACAGGGCGTGTCGGGTAGGCCGGCAGCCGGCTCCGCCTGTTTGCGGCACCCGCCGCAGCGCGGCGCCACCGTCGGCTGGGCCGAGCGAGACGATCCAAGCGTCCTTCCCAACAGTGAGATTCAGCTGGAGGAACTAGAACCCATCATCTACCGACTGTTGAACTCGCATGATGGCGTGCTCTTCCTGTCCAGGTATGTGTGCTTGTTGTCCAGGCATGTGTTTGTGTGTGTGGGGGGAGGGGGAGGAGGCCGGAGGTTGAGGGCTGGGACTGGGAGATTACGTGGCTGGAGGATAGCGGTAAAAGGTCTGAGAAGGGCGATGGAATGACTGGAAGCGAAGGTAGAGGCTGAGGTGAATTAGGTTATAACATGATTGAGCAGCGACTTCCTCGGATGATGTGCTGCATTGTTGCATCGCATTCTGTCACTTCTGAAAATTTGGATAACGTGGTGCTCAGACTAGATTCATTCACCAGTTGAGAAACCTGCTGCATTGTTTACACATCATCTCATCCATTTACACTTACCCAGTCTGGCCTTTAAAAGCCTGTAACTAGCTGCATTGATAGCACAAATATTTCTCGAACCTGGCCCGTTGCCCGTAACCCGTGAATACTGACCGCTGCCCCTCCTTACAATCTGCTGGACTGTTACTCTGCCGAGTTTCACGACCAAGCCTATCCCCTGATCATTGACCTAACCTGACCTTTGACGCTCCCCTCTGCCCCCACAGCCTGCTGGACTGTTACTCTGCGGAGTTTCACGACCCGGGCCTGTCCCGCCTGCGTCTGGAACCGAACGCAGTCTGCCTGGAGCACCTGCTGACGTGGCTGCCTGAGGTGCGGGTGGTGACTCGCAGTCAGGACAAGGCGGTCGTGTGGGCACGAGATGCGCCCGAAGGTGAGTGGAGGGGTGGGAGAGATACGTTGTTTTGTTTGGGGGCTGGTTGTATGCTAGTGCTTTTGAGAGTTTAAGATGGTGTACGCCCTTCGAGTTTCGCCTCTTGAGCTGTTTGTGCGAGATCTTGCCTATGTGGAAGGAGCGAAAAAGTCTAGCCTCTATTACACGTGGACGTATGGTATGCATTGCACCCCTGACCCATCTTTAATGACCTTGTAGTCGGCGCGCCCAAAGCCCCAATAAACAAACATGACCCATCTTTCATATTTTTTCCGGGATCCGTATTTCGGCCGTGTCTACCTAACTTTTGTCGTGTGACATATTTAGGTTTTATTTTATAGGCCTGTACACATTCAGCTGCTGTGCTGTTGTCAGCCGAAAATCACTCACACTATTGGCTGAAAAATTGATGACGTTATGTTGCACTTGCAACATGACGTCACCTCTCTGCTGCCGGCAGCATGGGCTGACGGGCTGTGCTGCTACGAGAAAGCAAGTGCAGAGATGCCGAGCCGTCAGCAAAAGCCATAAATGACGCATTTAGACACTGGTAGTGGCGCATGAAAGCAAATCACGTGCCAGATTTTTATTGAGCACTGCAGATAAATGAAATTTGGACACCATGTTGGCGCTATTCACATATATTTGGTTTCATAATTAATTGTCGATACAAGAAAAATACTTATTACTTTCGCACATTGTCTGTAAATATTTTGATAATATATCTAACTGCTTAAGTATTGTATTAATAAAGAACATGAAGATGAGACGAAATATTTGTTTACAACGCCATATTTGTAAACAGCCAGCCAGTGCTGACATTTCTCATCAGCCAAATGTATACAGTTCCGTCAGCCAGAAGCGGTGGGCGGAGCCTATTTCAGCTGACAACAGCACAACAGCTGAATGTGTACAGGCCTTATAATTTGACTGTATTTTATGGGTCTTGTTACACATTTTGGCTGTGTGACTAGTTACAACCATGTTACCATTGTGACCGTAATATGACCATTGACCACCTCTGTCGCCCTGCCGCCGTTCTATCTCAGAGGAGCCGGCGCCGGTGAACCCGGCCCTGCAGCAGAAGGTGGTCATGTTCTCCCGCGAGGTGGTGGACCTGCTGCGGGCGGCGCCGCGCGCCAGGATGCCCTTCAACAGGTGCGTGATAAAACGGGGAACTGGTGGGCGGGTAATGATGAGCGTTCGGGCACCAAAAGTCAAACTGCCTATAAATGAGCTCGTTTGTGAACCAGTAGGTGGGAAGTGAGAACACGACTACCACTCTTGGTATGGTACTGCATCCAAATGTTGAAATAGAAGTTGTCCTGTCGCCTTTTACGGTGTAACGAGACTGGGTGTAATGAGACCGGTTTTGTAAATTCCACTCATTTGCTACATCTACATATATTGTATATCAGCCTCATCGAATCGTATCGACCATATGAATATGGTCCAATTCGTATTGAAGTCTCGCCGTGTCACTGAATGACATTGGCTCTATGTTGTCTCGGTGTCACAGGTTCATCCCGGCCTACCATCATCACTTTGGTCGCCAGTGTCGGGTCTCCGACTACGGCTTCACTCGGCTGGCAGACCTGTTTGACGCCCTGCCACATATCGTACAGGTTAGTAGGTCAGGGGTGAGGCGGGGGGGGGGGGGAGTTCACTGGATAGGTGAAGGGGAGGGTTATCACTGCGGAAGGTATTGTGTAGGTCTCTCTGGTGGGAAAGTGACAGAATAGCGATGCGGCTTTCCAACTGGATAAAAGGGTCGAAAGGACTGAGCAAATTAAATAAATGTGCACTTAGCTTGCATCCGCGGACATTAGATGATAAGCACACCGGGTGTGGAACAAATTGAATTGAAGCAGAATTGCATCTTGATGGGTAAAGTTAAGGAGCCAACTCTTTTTGTTTTAACCAGCAAGTGGGAGCACAGAATGAGATACAGGATCGAACACAGCTGAGTTGCTGAAAAAATGATGATTGCTGCTTTAGTTAGTCTGGCAAAACTAAAGAACAGAATTACTTAAAACGTAAACTTATTGATGTACGTGTCTGCCGCGTATGCATACTATAACTTCCTATACGTTCGAGAGCATTTCTATGAATACTTGAAGCACTGACAGGCAAGATACAAAGTAAATATTCTACATCTACTGACTGTATTGACGGTTTTAGTGTTATCGAGTTTGCCGTCTGCTTCCCATCAATAAAATGGAGCTATGAAAAAAGTATTGATGGTGGTCAACAAACTGGCTTGGCCAGTCGTTTACCGAATAATCAGGCATTTCGCCGTCCTGCAGCCGTTTGGAATGTAAACATATCGAGAGCAGGCCGCCCACGGAGCCACTCCTTTGCATGCCAGGGCCGAACAGCATATACCGGGATGCCGGGGAGAGATGTTCTCCGACCGGGTCGAGCCGCCGCGCCGGTCGGCAGTTAGCTCCCCGGCTCGGAGGCGGACGGTGCACCCCGGCCCACCTACTGCCGGGCTGTCCAGTGCAGCATGGCTGCCCGACCCCTCAGCAGTTCCGTCTGCCTGCTGGCGGTGCTCTGCGCCGTCTTCCCGTGCGCGCTAGCCGACGACGCCGGTGCTGGCACCAACGACGCGCTGGATGATCTGCTGGCGCTCGTCAACCGTGCGGTGAGAGAGGCCGTGGACCCCATCTCCGTCGAGCTCCGCAGCCAGCGCGGGCTGCTGAGCGACATCTTGGGAAGGTTAAGCAGCCAGGACGCTCAGGCAGAATCGGCCAGTGCTCGACTTGATGCTGTTCAAGCTACGTTTGACTCTCAATCTAAGTCAACTAATGCACGGCTTGATTCCATCCAGGAGGCCATAGAGTCTCAATTTCAGCTCATCACTGCCTGGCTTGATTCCATGCAAGATGCTCTGGAGTCTCAAAGTCTGTCTGTCAATGCCCGGCTCGATTCTACTCAGAAGACATTGGAATCTCAGCTTCAGCCAGTCACGTCTCAACTCAACTCAATGGAGGCGGAGCTCGGCTCTCAGCTTACTTCGTCCAACAGCAGTCTCAGACATCTGCAGTCTGAGGTCGACACTGCGCTGGACTCGGTTACCACCGGGCTGGACTCGTTTAGCACACGACTGGAAGAGCTGGCAGAGATACAGCAGAATGCGACCACCCGGCCACGAGACTGCAGCGAACTGCCAAACGGTTACCCCAGTGGGGTCTACACTAGTGGTGTCAATCGGTTACCAAAATTTCGGTATACCGATACCGAACCAATACCGATTCGGTATTCGGTATTATATACCAAAAGCATTTGGTATTTTGTCGGTATCATGAAAATCAACTACTGTCATAAAATATTTGAAAGCATTTTTGATAAACCTTCTGAACTCAAATTTGATTTTGCTAAATGACACTGGATGAAGAAAAATGGCAATCATGACATATTTCTCCCAAATGCATGATGTCCTAACAAATGGGCAAACACATCAACTGTAATATCAAATACATCAGTCTACCAATGTTAAATGGCAACTTATCAGTGTTAGCAAATTCCAATACCATGAGGATAATTATCCTACAAAGAAAGCCAATGTGCAAGACATAAACATGAATTAATGTTGAACTCACTGTATGCTGGAAAACATGCTTAAACTACCTTTCTCAAAATTTCCAAAGCATTTATTAGCAACAAATTTGACTTGTTTTGAGGAGTCTGTGATTGATCTTGACCTTGTCTTCCTCTCCATTTTACTGCAATGCAATTACATTATCCAAAACCCTGTTTAATACAGCACTAGCTTCACCATTATCATCTAATATTTAAGGCAGCATTTGTCACTTCATCATCACCCGCATCACCCCACAAATCTTCAACTTCGCTCAACTTCAAAAAGCCTTGTAGTGAGCGATGCTGTCATGATCCTGTGGATAATTTATTTTCTTCAATTAGTGTTCTCTTTCCTGCTCTCTCAACAGATACAGATCGCTAGCAATTTAATCATGAGCACTTATAAAATAATGTAACGGAAGTTGGCACAGATTCAGCACAGATTCAGCACAGCACAGATTCGGTAGGGGGAAAAAAGGCCCCGGTAGAGGGAAACCTTTATGACCCGGTTTCCCCTAGAAATGACGTCACAAAGAGGTAAAAATGTGTATCAATCGAAAGCTCTCGTTTACCCAGACACAGTCCTGCAGGAAAATTTCACTTTTTCCCCATAGGAAAGTTTTTACGGGAAAATCAAAATTTTGGGTCAATGGGGGGTCCCCCCCGATTTCGTTCAAAATCGGCACACAGGTGCCCCACCACCAGCCGAGAAACTTTCCCCAAAACGGTCCCCGTTGCATTGACGTTTAAGGCCCGTAAAGCCCCCTAGACTCGTAAAATATCCGTAAAATCGCCTTTGTACGGACAAAAAAGTGGTGCTATGGTTAAAATGGGTATCAATCGAAAGCTCTCGTTTACCCAGACACAGTCCTGCAGGAAAATTCCACTTTTTCCCCATAGGAAAGTTTTTACGGGAAAATCAAAATTTTGGGTCAATGGGGGTCCCCCCCGATTTCGTTCAAAATCGGCACACAGGTGCCCCACCACCAGCCGAGAAACTTTCCCCAAAACGGTCCCCGTTGCATTGACGTTTAAGGCCCGTAAAGCCCCTTAGACTCGTAAAATATCCGTAAAATCGCCTTTGTACGGACAAAAAAGTGGTGCTATGGTAAAAATGGGTATCAATCGAAAGCTCTCGTTTACCCAGACACAGTCCTGCAGGAAAATTCGACTTTTTCCCCATAGGAAAGTTTTTACGGGAAAATCAAAATTTTGGGTCAATTGGGGGTCCCCCCCGATTTCGTTCAAAATCGGCACACAGGTGCCCCACCACCAGCCGAGAAACTTTCCCCAAAACGGTCCCCGTTGCATTGACGTTTAAGGCCCGTAAAGCCCCCTAGACTCGTAAAATATCCGTAAAATCGCCTTTGTACGGACAAAAAAGTGGTGCTATGGTAAAAATGGGTATCAATCGAAAGCCCTCGTTTACCCAGACACAGTCCTGCAGGAAAATTCGACTTTTTCCCCATAGGAAAGTTTTTACGGGAAAATCAAAATTTTGGGTCAATGGGGGGTCCCCCCCCGATTTCGTTCAAAATCGGCACACAGGTGCCCCACCACCAGCCGAGAAACTTTCCCCAAAACGGTCCCGTTGCATTGACGTTTAAGGCCCGTAAAGCCCCTTAGACTCTTAAAATATCCGTAAAATCGCCTTTGTACGGACAAAAAAGTGGTGCTATGGTAAAAATGGGTATCAATCGAAAGCTCTCGTTTACCCAGACACAGTCCTGCAGGAAAATTCGACTTTTTCCCCATAGGAAAGTTGTTACGGGAAAATCAAAATTTTGGGTCAATTGGGGGTCGCCCCCGATTTCGTTCAAAATCGGCACACAGGTGCCCCACCACCAGCCGAGAAACTTTCCCCAAAACGGTCCCCGTTGCATTGACGTTTAAGGCCCGTAAAGCCCCTTAGACTCGTAAAATATCCGTAAAATCGCCTTTGTACGGACAAAAAAGTGGTGCTATGGTAAAAATGGGTATCAATCGAAAGCTCTCGTTTACCCAGACACAGTCCTGCAGGAAAATTCGACTTTTTCCCCATAGGAAAGTTTTTACGGGAAAATCAAAATTTTGGGTCAATGGGGGTCCCCCCCGATTTCGTTCAAAATCGGCACACAGGTGCCCCACCACCAGCCGAGAAACTTTCCCCAAAACGGTCCCCGTTGCATTGACGTTTAAGGCCCGTAAAGTCCCCTAGACTCGTAAAATATCCGTAAAATCGCCTTTGTACGGACAAAAAAAGTGGTGCTATGGTAACAATGGGTATCAACCGAAAGCTCTCGTTTACCCAGACACAGTCCTGCAGGAAAATTCGACTTTTTCCCCATAGGAAAGTTTTTACGGGAAAATCAAAATTTTGGGTCAATGGGGGGTCCCCCCCCCCGATTTCGTTCAAAATCGGCACACAGGTGCCCAACCTTCAGCCGAGAAACTTTCCCCAAAACGGCCCCCGTTGCATTGACGTTTAAGGCCCGTAAAGCCCCTTAGACTCGTAAAATATCCATAAAATCGCCTTTGTACGGACAAAAAAGTGGTGCTATGGTAAAAATGGGTATCAATCGAAAGCTCTCGTTTACCCAGACACAGTCCTGCAGGAAAATTCGACTTTTTCCCCATAGGAAAGTTTTTACGGGAAAATCAAAATTTTGGGTCAATGAGGGGTCCCCCCCGATTTCGTTCAAAATCGGCACACAGGTGCCCCACCACCAGCCGAGAAACTTTCCCCAAAACGGTCCCGTTGCATTGACGTTTAAGGCCCGTAAAGCCCCCTAGACTCGTAAAATATCCGTAAAATCGCCTTTGTACGGACAAAAAAGTGGTGCTATGGTAAAAATGGGTATCAATCGAAAGCTCTTGTTTACCCAGACACAGTCCTGCAGGAAAATTCCACATTTTCCCCATAGGAAAGTTTTTACGGGAAAATCAAAATTTTGGGTCAATGGGGGGTCCCCCCGATTTCGTTCAAAATCGGCACACAGGTGCCCCACCACCAGCCGAGAAACTTTCCCCAAAACGGTCCCCGTTGCATTGACGTTTAAGG